GTTAAAATACCGCCTTATTTACATGACAATAGTCCTGATCTGCCCCGTCCGCCTTGTGGTGCTAGAAGGGTCTTGGCACCGTCCGTTCTCACAATAATCAGTTTGTTTACCATTGCTTTCAAGTCCAATTGTTGCCTCAGAACTGTCATTTATCACAGCTGTTGGGAGTTTGTTATGTCTATTGTGGATTATCTAGGTCCTGTTAGCCATTTTTGTTCTACCTGACGTTGACTTGATCATTGACGTTTTATTTCTTGGTGTGCTGTACTCTCTGAATTTAACAGGTATACCTTAATTAACATCTCTACACTTGTGCGTACCTTTCTCAACTCTCTTGTTACCTTGAAACAGAAGATTACTGCCAACAAAACATTCGCTGATTTTTTTCTCTCATCAACACAGCACTTCCATCAACACAGCACTACTCATCAACACAGCACTACTCATCAACACAGCACTACTCATCAACACAGCACTACTCATCAACACAGCACTACTCCATCAACACAGCACTACTCATCAACACAGCACTACTCATCAACACAGCACTACTCCATCAACACAGCTCTACTCATCAACACAGCACTACTCATCAACACAGCACTACTCATCAACACAGCTCTACTCATCAACACAGCACTACTCATCAACACAGCACTACTCATCAACACAGCACTACTCATCAACACAGCACTACTCATCAACACAGCACTACTCATCAACACAGCACTACTCATCAAATTGCCTCCCTCGCTCTGTTTGTTATTGATGTTATCTCGCAGTCCTGGAATTACCTACATCCGTCACACGCAACACAACCTTCTCTTCTTTATATTTTATCTTTTAATTCCCATTCTGTTTTTACCTTCTCATTATCTTCAATTATTTATTTTATTCAGCTTGATAATGCACTTCCGTTCGTTTATTCTCTCCCCCTCTCTCTCTCTCCAGCTTCCATTGGTGCTTTTCTAGTTTAGTCTCCCCTTCTTATCGTTTTTTACTTCAGCTTCCCCTCACCCGCTGAATGGCTATCACGCGATCGGGAAGTTCAACTGAGACGACGGAGACTTGATAACTTAAAACAGCTTCTCTCAATGGCTATCATGCTATCAAGACTCTTAACCTGTGATCCTGGAAAAGTAGAAAGAATTCAACCTATTGTGGCATCATCCTGTTATCTTACTTCAATATGACCTGGTTTATGTTATCCTGTCGTGATTAGTCTGTTATCTTCACGTAGACATATCCTCCCAAATATTTTAATTCCACGATGCTATCATGTTATCAATATGTTCATCGATATTCACGGAGAAATATCCTGCTATTTTAATCCAATATAACCCTCATACTGCCACCTATCCTGCTATAAAGACATTCAGCTGTAGCCACGGAGGAGCGAGAGACACAACTCCGCCACTACCAGCTCCTGCCCGTGCCGCTGACCCAGATACCTACACCAACCCTTCGCCTCCAGATAGAAAATACTTACTTAGCGACTTTCTCTCCTATCCATTGGCCGAGCGAGAACAGCTGGTAGCAGTCACTCTTATCATCACATTATTGTTTTAACTCCAAATCTAAACCTATGACTCGAACTTAGAAGATAACAAGAGGTCCTCCTTCAACTACCTCCTCCAAATCTCATCTCCCACTAGAGAGCGATAAGGGATAAGATCTTTACGGTGTTGAGGCGTCAAGCGAAGACGAGAGAAATCCTGAGAACGTCTTGAGACATCTCCTACTACCTTGACACGCCGGAGGAATGCCAACCCACGGCTTGGTCTCACTTAATGTATGATATTATCCCTATCAGATGTCGGTGGTGCCGGAGGATCACAGTCACAAACACACTCCAGGAAGAAAGTGTAGATTATAAGTATGGAAAGATGGTACAGTAATGACCATAGGTATTACAGGAACAGTGATTAGTTACAGGTACAGGGAGTTAGATACAGAAATTCCAGGTGGTGGTGATACTTATGAGGTGGAGTGTCAAGCTGCCATTCCCTATACCTCCCTACCGTCAAGGTGAACCATGACCGGCCAATCAGCCTACGCCAAACCCAGGTACGCGTGGATTATTATTATTTTTTTTTTTGCGAGTGAGCAGCCGGTATAGTCCACCCGGATGAGTCGAGATGGCTGAGGGGGGAAGAGATGATGATGGTGGTGTAGGTGGTGGTGATGGAAGTGGTGTGGTGGTGGTGTTCGTGGTAGTGGTGTTGGTGGTGGTGGTGGTGCAGGTGGTGGTGGTGTCGTGGTGGTAGTGGTGTTGGTGGTGGTGGTGGTGTAGGTGGTGGTGATGGAAGTGGTGTTGGTGGTGGTAGTGGTGTGTGGTGTTGGTAGTGGTGTTGGTGGTGTTGGTGGTGATGATGATGATAGTGACGTTGGTTGTGTTGCTGGTGGTGTTGTTGGTGGTGGTGATAGTGGTGGTGGTGGTGGTGGGGGTCGCCTCGTACCTGGCCGTCTGTGTTTTTATTGTCCAGGTGATACAAAAAAGGTTAATTTCTTTTACCTGAATCTTGGCGCTAATGGTTTGAAGTGACAGCTGGTTTTGTGTGTGTGTGTGTGTGTGTGTGTGTGTGTGTGTGTGATTCAGTTATTTACACAATTTTTACTACAGGAAATAATAATAGGAGTAACAACTGATCAGTATATTGTAGAAGTGTATGAGTAATTTATTGTAATTTTATTAATTTTATTAATTTATTCATTAATCGGTGATTTATTTACACATTTCAATCGTTACTTGTATACAAATCGATGAATTTATATATATATTGGTTTCGAATTTTTTGGTTGAAAATCATAGTCATAACTTTGTTTATGTATTTAAATCGTCGTCCTCAGAGGGTTAAATCATCGTGATATAAAGCGCTCTTTCTCTCCCCCTCCTCCCCTTCCTCTTCCTCCCTCCTTCCCTTCCTCCCCATCCATCTTTCCCTCCTCCCCTCCATCCTTCCCTTCCTCCCCCTCCATCCTTCCCCTTCCTCCCCTCCATCCTTCCCTCTCCTCCCTCCCTTCCCCTCCCTCACCCTCCTATTCCATCTCCCCTCCTCCCCTCATCCTCCCCTCTCACTCCCGCCCTCCTCTTCCTCCTCCCCTCCTCACTCCCGCCTCCCCCCTCCTCTCCTTCCTCCTCCTCCTCCTCTCCCTCACTCCCCTCCTCCTCCCTCTCCCTCACCTCCTACTCCTCTCCCTCACTACCCTCCTCTCCCTCCACCCCCTTCCTGTCCCCGACTACCATTCCTGCGGTCAGCTGAGGTTTAACCCCGATAGGTGACGAAGGCTGGAGGCTCCTGTGTCATCCCACACCACCACCTGGAGGAGGAGGAGGAGGAGGAGGAGGAGGAGAGGACAAAGAAACTAAGAAAGGAAATGAGGAAGAGGAAGGAAAATAGAGGGGAAAGGAAAAGCGACACACACACACACACACACACACACACACACACACACACACACACACACACACACACGAGACATAAAACCAGCGCCATTGACATTAAACTTGACACTAATGTTGACACGACCACTGAACCTGACACAGTCTGACACTGGGCTGGGTTATCTCTGGCTCAAGGCTTAACATTAACCATTACCTTTGACTTAATATATTTTCTTACCTTTAAAACATACACATGAACATATTATTGAATGTAACACTATCAATGACTTCTGGCCACCTGGCTTATTGTATCATGAACTATGTAACTACTACAATGAATCACTAGTCCTTGGGATATTGCAGTCTGTGCTAAATTTGCTAATCCACATTAATTAATTATCAAGTATAAAATAAGACTTTTGAATATGACTTGTGTATGAACCTGTGTTGTGTGTGGCTGCCAACCGTGACAGCACCCCCCAGTGTCAAGACCAACCTCTGTCCACCTGTAGCTACCTGGCCGCCCTTGTAAACGTTGGCAGACGGAGAGAAACATCAGGAAAATTATTGTGGTTCTCTTGACTGGTCGGGCAGCCATTCATCTGACACCACACCCCTGACCCACCAACCCTATGGCCTACCTTCTTAATCTCATCATATCTTTTAAATAATAAAATAGGTCTTATCTCTACGTATAAATTCACTATAGGAAAGTTCTTCATTGTGGACCTACTCGGGTCGACGACAAACTGGTTAGTAAAATAAAGATAAACATCACTGTTCACAGATGCGAAACTCTCACTGTGTTGATATGAACAAGTGGGCCTTACATGATCAAGTGTTTAATACAAGCCAATAACACACCGCCAGGTTAAGTAAATGCTATTCTTCATAGTTCGGTGAAGTCGAGATTCTCATAGACACATTATTAGTGTAAGAGCCGTGTGGAGGTGTACAGAGCGTGACCATTTAGAAGACAAGAGATTCGAGCTTTTTATAAACAGAGGAGCCAACAGTTCCGCTCAGAGGCTTCACTATTAAAAGATACAACATAATTTCTTTTGTTTCCTCCGAGTTGGTCATTAGTATGGTTCAGGTGAGTGCTTCAACGCATACAATAAAACCCTATTTCTTCACGTCACGGTAACCCCAGGTGTGTTAGTAAGATCTCACCTTCGTTAATTAATGACGGTGATCTCACAGGTAACATCACACGCGGTATGTACATTTCCTCCGTCCCATCCATGAACCCTGAGACTCGTGAGCCCGAAACATGACATACTGTAGATGGTGTACTGTGTCATGTCTCGGACTCACAGGTTCATGAGTCTCAGGGTTCATGGATGGGACGGAGGACTGAGTGGAACGACTGACTTAGAAGACTTACTACGATGACTGACTGAGAGGACTGACTGAGAGGACTGACTGGGAGGACTGACTGAACTTTTTCCGTGACTGGCTGTGGCTCCGCGAAGCTTAATGATAATAGGTCCGGTGGTGGTAAGTGAGACCATGCAGGAACGAGTGTTGAAACCTTCCCTCCACATACCCTAGGCTGTTGCTGTACTCTAACTCCTGTATATACTAAAGGAAAAAATATGATAGACTGACATACCTTTATCTGTGTGTCTGGTGCACTGTATCCTGCCCCAACTGACACCTGTAGTCTGTTATCTGTAATAAAGTAAATATTGTATTAATAATAGTGTCTGGCCTCAGGGAAACTGTATGTCATTTTGTTTAATTAACTTGTAAACACACACACACACATTCAAACAAAAACATATATTCCTGACACAACACAAGAGTAATACTTCCCTGATGGTGGCACGACTGACCTCATGTGCTGCCTTAACCATGAACGATCACCAAAATAAAGTGTGTGTATGTGTGTGTGTGTGTGTGCGTGTGTGTGTGTGTGTGTATCCTTGAGCATGTCTTGGGTCAGATCACCATATCAGTTGAGGTTAAAGTTTTCTTGTTGTTGTGTATTAAGAGATGTAACATAGGCGGTGTGAACTTGGAACCATCTTGTACGGAGACATTAACAGACAGACTATGACATTCTGACGCTAAATAGACAGATAGTTAAACAGGTAGATAATTTGGGTTAAACTGAGACAGACAGACAATCAGAGAGTAAACAAATAGACACAGAGACAATCAGACAATTAGACAGACAGATAGACAGACAATCAGACAGACACGTATCCAGTTCCTCACCACAACATCCATGTGGTCGGTCACTTTCTCTCTGCCGCCTGGACACGTTGCCACTAAACCCAATCTAACCTAACCTAACCTAACCTAACCTAACCTAACCTAACCTAACCTAACCTCAAGATGAAACCCCCCCAAATACATCAACTCCTCCAGGACCAATCATGTAAAAGTCTCGAAAAATTACAACAAAACGCGATTTGAACTATTTAATGGGAACCCGGAATAAGATAAAACCAGAGACCGCGGGACCGGGATTCAGGGCGTCAACTGCGCAGTGAGACTCAGAGGGCGAAAGTACGTGCATTGACATTCCACGGGTAGTGGGACAGGTGTGACCAAGGCTGGCTACTGAGGGGTCATTATATATTCTTAACGCAGGTGAGATTAACGCGGTCTTCAATTCAATCAGAAGCAAACAATTGGGAGAAAAAACCCTTGAAAATAATTGTTTGGGTATACAGGTGTGAGAGGAAGCGTTACCTGTGTTTATTACGTGTTACAGGTGAGAGAGGAAGCGTTACCTGTGTTTATTACGTGTTACAGGTGTGAGAGGAAGCGTTACCTGTGTTTATTACGTGTTACAGGTGTGACAGGAAGCGTTACCTGTGTTTATTACGTGTTACAGGTGAGAGAAGAAGCGTTACCTGTGTTTATTACGTGTTACAGGTGAGAGAGGAAGCGTTACCTGTTTTTGAGACTCGACCTGATTATCATTTAATTGTCAAATCAAGGCAGAAAATGCTTGTGTGTTAGTCCACGTTTTCTGTGAGTTTTTTTTATACACTCGATATCAGTGACCTGTTGGATATCATATGTTAAAAAAAATCCTTAATCATATACAGGACTTAGATGCATTGGTAAACACAGCTGAACGATGAGTTAGGAATTAATCCACAACAAAAAGCATTTGGCAATCAGTACAGGTCGATACCACCACCTGCCTGTAAGATTAGCTGAATAACGTATTAAATGTGTACAACATACGAACCAATATTTGATGATTCAGTACAGGTGAGAATTGTTTCTTTCAACTAATTGTTTACGGCGATGAATATATTGATATTATGTCAGCCAATAGTTTCAATGAGTTAAAATATATAATGCATTGTGTTTGGTGAGGTAAAATATCCTGGAAATAGATTACGATTGGTAAAAAAAAGTTTTGAGTGGGAGATGGAGGAGGAGTAGGAAGAGAAGGAACAGGAGGAATAAAAATGAGAAAGGGAAAGAGAAGGAATAGAAACGAGGCGAAGAAAGAGGAAAAGGAAGTGAAGAAGAAGAAGAAGAAGAAGAAGAAGAAGAAGAAGAAGAAGACTGTCTGGCTGCTTTGGTCGACGAGAGAGGAGGAGGGGGGTGGTGGGGAGGAGGAGGAGTAGGAGGTGGTGGTGGGAGGACAAAGGCAAATCACAGAGAGAGAGAGAGAGAGAGAGAGAGAGAGAGAGAGAGAGAGAGAGAGAGAGAGAGAGAGAGAGAGAGAGAGAGAGAGAGGAGAGAGAGGGTGCAGGTGACAGGGGCGACAGGTGTGACAGGGAGCGACAGGTGTAACAGGTGCAGGAGACGGAAAAGGGAAGATAGAAAAAGGAGGAGGAGATAATTTGGAGGAAGAAGATGTGGGAGGATAAATGACGAGTGAAAAGGGAGATGGAGAAGAAAGATTTGGGGAGGAAGGCGAGGAGGAGGAGGAGGAGGAGGGGGGGGGGGCAGGAGAGAAAGGAATTGAAGTGGAAAGAAAGCGAAGGAAGATGAAGATGAAACGAATAAAATAATAATAATAAAGAACGACACGAAATAAATAAGATAAATGATACGTAGAAGAACACAAGCAAAGAAAATAGGTAAAGCAGAAGAAAGATTTTCACACGAAAATATCGCCATCAATCACCTGCCAGACCCACTACTTGACAGCCCACTCCCACCCACCACCACCACCACCACCATCCACCCACTACCACCCACCATCACCACCACCACCCACCATCACCACCACCCTACCACCACCCTGCCAACACCACCAGCCTACTAACACCCATCCTGCCATCACCACCACCCCATAGCACTACCAACACCACTATCACCACCAACCTTACCCCTACCACCACGCTGCTAACACCACTACCACCACCCTGCCACCACCACTACCACCACCCTGCCACCACGAGGATGCCCGCCACTCGAGACAGGTGTGAGAGAAAGCTGGGGATGAACAGGTAAAAAAGAGAGGCGTTGATAAAGAAGGTCAAAAGAGGGAGAGAGAGAGAGAGAGAGAGAGAGAGGAGACAGGCCGAGTCATGCAGGAGAGTAAGTCTTGCTCTCCCAGTTTCACGATCCTACAGTCTCTAAAAAGGACTCGAGGGATGCGGAGAGGCGTAAAAGGAACAGATGGAAGGGAGGGGAAGGGGAGTAGGAGAGACAGAAGGGGAGGGAATTGGATGGAAGGGGTGGAGGGAGTTACAGGAGGGATGGGGTAGAGAGGAGAGAGGAGAGAGGGGACTGAAATACCGGTTGATAGACGGAAGGAGAGACGGAAATTCGAAAATAAAATTAAGGCAAAAAAATTCAAATCTTTGGGTAAAATTCTCAGGTGATACTGGGAACATCTTCAGACAGAGGTGAGGCGAGGTTAGGTAAGCGTCTCATGGAGGTTGTAAGAGCACCAGTGAAAGCTTTAGTTAAGGCTCATTAAGACAGGTACAGAAGACCCTCTCACCTGTCCATTCACCTTGATACATAAACTACTATTACCTGTCCGTGTTGATGGTCTTAAGTCTTACAGGTGGGTCATTATACAGTGAAACCTCCATATAACTGATTTCTCTCCATATACAGTAATTAGAGGGAGAGTTTCACATCCAATGGGCCTTTGATATAACGGACTTTCATCTATATATAGTTCGTTATGTAAAGGTTTCACATTTAACGGACCCCTTATATTCTCGCTAGTTGTGTAGAAATAGGTCTAGTTACTACTTTATATAGATGGGTTATTTCTAGTTGCTAGTTTATATAGATAGGTCTTTGCTAAATTGACTCAATATAAATATTCTTGGTAAGTTGTTCATATATTTTTTTTTTCAGGCTTCGCTACGGTATATTTTGATTCTTATATGTAGAATAAAAATCAATATACAAGTCTAGACTACCCCTCCCTCCCCTCTCCCCCCCCCACACACACTCGATCCTCTTATAATCGGCAGAAAAGTTGAAGTCAGTTTCTATTGGCTGATTCCTCGTGATTTGACTGATGGAACCCGTTTTCTGAATCACTTCACTTGTACAGTAAATAATCGAATAAATTTAGAGTTTTAAACTAGAAAATATTACTGGTTTAGAGATAAGATAGAAGTATAATGAAGTTAAATTTATGTATAGTGAACAGAGTATAATAATATTGTTTATTTACTCTCATATTTAGTTTATAGATTAGAGGTAAATTGATACCTGATGATAAACAACAGACAACAATAACTATGATTTGAACAGAGGAGTCGGCGGTGAAGACAGTCTCGGGTACTAAAGGCATCACCACACACGTTCTCAACCTTTTATAAACGTTACAAAAGAGAGAAAACTTAACGTTCTCCTCCCTCTTCCTTCCCACAATAAGTCAGGGAGGTCAGGAGAGGTCAGCCAGAGGGGTCATCACCAAACCGTACCTCTGGGTCAGGGAGGTCAGGAGAGGTCAGCCAGAGGGGTCATCACCAAACCGTACCTCTGGGTCATCCCTCTCGACCTCAAGAGCAAAGGTTATCAAACGTTATTTACTCATTCAATTCTTACTAAATTCACTTCCTCAATCTACAACTCTTTCGTAAATTGTATTTTAACCCTAAGAGGCTGAGTGGATAAAACTAGCGTCCTCAAAGGGTTAAACCATTAAGGGTTAAACTATGAAGGTTGGCTGTCCAGATGATCGGAGCTATTAAGGTTGGCTGGCCAGATGATCGGAGCTATTAATGTTGGCTGGCCAGATGATCGGAGCTATTAATGTTGGCTGGCCAGATGATCGGAGCCTATTAAGGTGGACTGGCCAGATGATCGGAGCTATTAAGGTGGACTGGGCAGATGATCGGAGCTATTAAGGGTTGACCTAAAGGGAAACAAGTGGTTGACCTCTACGCTATCATCACCGAGCTACTTATATATTAGTTAATTATCCTCCAATTTCCTCTCCCATTAACCCCCCTTCCCTTACCTACCCCTATCCATCTCTATTCCCTTCCTACCCTCTCCTCATCTCCCCCTCCCCCTTACTACCCCTCTCCCCCTTCACCCTACCCTCTCCCCTTCTTCCCCTTCCCACCTACCCTCTCCTCATTTCCCCCCTCCCTTACCCTACCCCTCTCCCCTTCACTTACCTACCCCTTCCCCACCTCCCTCACTGCCCCCCTCCCCGCCTCCAGCCTCCTCTCCCCTCCCCTACCTCGCCTCCCCCCCCCTCCTCCCCTACAGGT